AGGTGGGTAGAGCCTTACCTCGACCCAGAGTGACCTGGATTTAGTGGCTGGCGGTAGTTAAGACCAGAGGCTGTTTATACCCCGTTTACCCCCACGCCACACCAAACCCCACCTAGCGAACGAAAGAGGTTAGTGACCTCGTGTGTGTGTGTGTGTGTGTGTGTGTGAAAATTACATCTAAAGTAACAATCATCAGGTATGTAAATTATGGTGGATGAATGACAGGTACTGAAGGTATTATTTTATTTTTAAAGACTATTTCTCATTTTCTCATTTATTTTACCTTAAAGAGACACATCCATTGATCTTAGGAGGATTAGAATTGTGGTTTACTGAAAGAGATTTGCCTTCTGTTTTTTTGGCGACAATCAGACAGACAGACAGACACATGGTAGAGACTGATGGTGGGCGGTAGGTAATAACAAGGAAGTTAACTTTTATGAAATTTAGCCACTGGTTTAGGTTAGGTTAGGTTAGGTTAGGTTAGGTTAGGTTAGGTTAGGTTAGGTTAGGTTAGGTTAGGTTAGGTTGAAGGGTAGAAAATGAAATAAATACTTTTAATAGAGGAGGAGAAGAAGGTCACAGGTGAGAGTCAAGGATCTTCACCTTTAATTAAAATAAGGGAAACCTATTTCAGTGACACTTCAATGGGTGTGTGTGTGTGTGTGTGTGTGTGTGTGTGTGTGTGTGTGTGTGTGTGTGTGTGTGTGTGTGTGTGTGTGTGTGTGTGTGTGATAATTTGATTCCTTGCGTTACCCAGACGACACACACACACACACACACACAGGGAAAAGTATTATTAATTTCATCACTAAGGACTGGCTGAGATGATCATATAAAAAATAAAAATACCATTAATAAATTAACCGAGATTACTAATGACTAGCAGAGGCTGATGGCGGCTTACCTCTCGCCATCTCTTCCTGTTCCTCCTCATCCAACCTCTTACCTAACCTCCTTCTACCTCTTCCTACCCTCATCCACCTTACCTAACCTCTCCTCCCTCCTATCTCCTCACCTCCCACTTCCCTCTTCCTACACATGCTCTCTCTCTCTCTCTCTCTCTCTCTCTCTCTCTCTCTCTCTCTCTCTCTCTCTCTCACACACACAAATTCACCTCCTCCCTCAATTTCCTCTCCTTCCCAAACCAAAGCGCCTCCATTATTCTCCAAATACTCCCCACAACATTTCCATCTCCCCACGCTCATACAGCCTCCCCAAACATTCCCACATCCTCCCCAATTTCCCAAGCCCTCTTGAAAACCTCCTACCCATCCTTTTCCAACTCCCCAAACACTCCCCACCTCCTCAACTCCCCACAATTTCCCAACCTCCTCCCCATCCCTCCCCACAAATCCCTCCCCAACCTCCTCCCCATCCCTCCCCAACTCCTCCCCATCCCTCCCCAACTCCTCCCCATCCCTCCCCAACTCCCTCAAATAATCCCCACGCTAACACACCACTCCATGTAACAAGGCAATACCAAACTCATTTAATCGGCTACAGTCGTATTTCAGTCATTTCATAAATTGGTCCGAACCTGAACAATGATGATTCACTCACTAAGCCAGACACGATTGGCCGATCCGGTGATTCATTTACTTACACACACACACACACACACACACACACACACACACACACACACACACACACACACACACTTTATACACGATTATGTTTGTCACTTGAGTTGCCTAACCTAACTTAACCTAATCTAACCAAACCTAATCTAACCTAACCTAATCTAACCTAACCTATACTGAATTTTCATAAGTTATTGGACAGTTTCTCTCGTTAATTTCCATAAGAGGTGATTAATAATATGATTAAATATTTATTATGTTCGTATTCTTCCTCAACGATAAAAAAAACCCACAAATTATTTTCCCTATTAAATATAGTAGTGATAATTACTTGTATATATTATTTTAGTCATTGGTAGGAATTATTCAGTGAGTCGATGGTGTTTTAGGATTTAATGCCCAGAATTATTCCAGTTGATGTGGCGACGGTTATCATAATTATCTGTCTGTCTGTTTCTCTGTCTGTCTGTCCGTCTGTCTCACTCATTATCTGTCTATCACTCACTCTGTCTGTCTGTATTCTTCACCATTATCACTTTCTGGTCGTCATGGTGAGGGTCGTAGCACCATTATCACCTTCCTGGTCGTCATGGTGAGGGTCGTGGCACCATTATCACCTTCCTGGTCGTCATGGTGAGGGTCGTGGCACCATTATCACCTTCCTGGTCGTTATGGTGAGGGTCGTGGCACCATTATCACCTTCCTGGTCGTTATGGTGAGGGTCGTAGCACCATTATCACCTTCCTGGTCGTTATGGTGAGGGTCGTAGCACCATTATCACCTTCCTGGCACCATTATCACCTTCCTGGTCGTTATGGTGAGGGTCGTAGCACCATTATCACCTTCCTCGTCGTCATGGTGAGGGTCGTAGCACCATTATCACCTTCCTGGTCGTCATGGAGAGGGTCGTAGCACCATTATCACCTTCCTGGTCGTCATGGAGAGGGTCGTAGCACCATTATCACCTTCCTGGTCGTTATGGTGAGGGTCGTAGCACCATTATCACCTTCTTGGTCGTCATGGAGAGGGCTCAGCACCATTATCACCTTCCTGGTAGTTAGTGGTTAGGTCAGCACCCCATTATCACCTTCCTGGTCGTTATGGTGAGGGTCGTAGCACCATTATCACCTTCCTGGTCGTTATGGTGAGGGTCGTAGCACCATTATCACCTTCCTGGTCGTCATGGTGAGGGTCGTAGCACCAGGTCACAACGCTCCTCAATTGTCTTATCATAATATAATTTGCCTCACGGTATCTCTCTCTCCCGCGTGTGTGTGTGTGTAGGTGTATGTGTGTGTGTGTGTGTGTGTGTAGGTGTATGTGTGTGTGTGTAGGTGTATGTGTGTGTGTGTAGGTGTATGTGTGTGTGTGTGTTAACATCCTCTCAGCTAGTGTGCCAAAGTGATTACCGGGAGAGGGAAGCGACTATATATATATATATACTTTACACTACTACATCAAGTACAGTAGAATTATGTATTACGTATTACTATATCACGGAGGGGGGAAGACTTAAATATTTTGAATTCATTGCATAATTTTGTATTCACTTGTGTATTACTCATTCATTTCTTTAACTGTATTTCTATTAATTTTTAGTTATTTTGTATTTATGTAGACTTTCTCGTACGATATTTCGGTGTACTAGTGGCAGCAGAAGCAGCCTCTTGGTTGGTGGCGGGCGCAGGACAACAACCTCTTGAAGACGTTAACTAAGGTAAATTTATTTGTCTTAAGCTTGTCACACGTACGAGGTGATAATGAATTAATGTTTATTATATGTTTATTAATTTATATATTTATGGTGTGTTAATTGATGTTTATGACTTTTAGGATAATTGATGTTTATGACTTTTAGGATAATTGATGTTTATGATAAGTTGGGATTATTTTTTCTGTCTCTTTGTTGACATTATGACGTCATCTGCTTCTGATCTCCGAGTGAACCTTCGCTTGGTAAACACATTCATTAGACGCACACAAACACACGCACTAATACACGCAACCAATCACACAAACACACGCACTAATACACGCAACCAATCACACAAACACACGTATACAAACAAATCCTCACACACAAACATACACATGAGTAGTACATAGGTTCAAAAATAAAAACACATACACCCCTTCACACCCAACCTCACACACACACATATACACACACACACATATACACATACATACACATACATACACATACATATACACCACATACAACCTCTCTCTCTCTCTCTCTCTCTCTCTCTCTCCTACCCCACGTCTCCCCCACATGCTTGAGAGAGTCAGTGGGAATTATGACGAGATAACACGAGATCTACGAGACCTGCCAGCGAGACGCCACCCACAAGATCTCGTTGTCTCTTACCTAAATCTCGCTGTCTCGGTTTTTACACCAGTCGTATCTCGCTGAAGGATCATAAAGTCGAGGTTATTTAGTTGCGTCTTTCACCACCCTGCTTACGTGTGTGTGTGTGTGTGTGTGTGTGTGTGTGTCTGTGTGTGGAGGTATGAGGAGGGGATAATTCTGTGGTGTGTGTGTGTGTGTGTATCAGAGGTGTACAATTGTGGTGTGTAGTTGTATGATTGCTTCCAAACAACACACACACACACACGCCAAACCAAACACCCTCTATAACGCTTTTCTCGTTCACGGGTCACAAAACGTTCAATGGGTCACAAAACTGGGTCAGAAAATAAGGAAATACCTCCCTTTCTCACACCAGAGCCTCGGGTACGTCATCTGCCTGGTATGGACGTGAATCTATGTCAAGAATGTCTGACAGCTGAGCGTTTGGCAAGATTTCGTGACGCGACTACGTGATGTGTGTGTGTGTGTGTGTGTGTGTGTGTAACCTGAAATAATAATATGAAATTTCCTCCAGGTATGATGTGATGAGCCTCCAGGTATAAGGTGATGAGTCTCCAGGTATATGATATGAGTCTCTGGGTATAAGGTGATGGCGTGAAGCAGTGGAGGTATAGATTGGCCGGGTCATAACGTGGGTTAAGAGGCTGGGAGTATAACAGCTAGCCAGGTGCTTACTCCCATCTCCAGTTATACAAGGCGCCATCATCGTTACGACCTTTGAGAATCTGACCCCAGAGAAGTAAACCCAGAACAGAAGGAGGTGAACGTTTACTACCATCCAGGAACAACCAGATGCTAGACACAAGTAAATGTTTTGAAATATTCACTAAGACAAAGATACCCAACGCCCTCGACACACCCCTGATAGTTAATATATTTTCCAGATCTAAGAAATTAATCAAAAAAGATGTTAGAAGTTTATTATTAATTATTAAATACCACTGAAGAGGAGAATATATATATATATCATCGTTTGTTATCCATAAAAACTTACCTGTGAAAAAATAAAGAGAGAAATTCTGTTAAAGGTTTGGTGTTGATCATGACTCACCGTTAAGGACGTGTAGCATGACGGTGGCGTCCTCACCGTTGGAGGGTCGGCAGGTGTACTTGCCGGAGTATGAGGACTTGGCCCTCTCGACCAACAGGTGACTGACGGTGTTGTGGCCAGACTGTGTCACTATCACCTTCCCGCCCACACTCTCGTAGTCTATCACCTGCAGGAGGCCCAATCACTCATTAATTATCTGCAAGTACCGTATACCTGTGGGGACTAGAGTGATTTGTAGTTACCTGGTGATCTTAATAAGTACTTATCGATAACCTGGATACCTGTAAACTTAAAGTAATCTAATCACCCGCCAGACGACACCCACCTCTCATTAATACCTGCAAGTACCCAGAACTACTGTAAGACGATCTACAGCTCCAGGACTGAGTGGCTAGAATCAGTGTAAAAAAAATCCCTGGAAAACTAAAACTCATTAAATTTTACCCCACTGGTCGTAGAAATTGTGTTGTTGGCCAAGACTTTAACCAGTGATAAAAAGAAGAATACTTACCAGCAGTTAACTTCGGCCCATCTCACTCACCCGGGGTAATTTAGTTAACCAGCGGAGGTAAAAATGAAGAACCCTTTTCTGGCTCTTAACTATCTCCCTTGATGGCTCTTACCTGTGTCAGAGAAGATGTTTACTACCTTCTGATTCTCTCATACCTGTAGTCTATCACCTACCTGGAGGAGGTCGATCACTCACCTGTAAGTACTGTACCTGTGAGGACTGTAGTGACCTGTGGATGACCTGAGATTATTTGGAGTGACCTGATTTGTGATTTTTTTTTTTAGTGGTAGTGACTTGTTGGAGGATGGGGTGTAATTCTGTCTGTCTGTCTGTCTGTCTGTCTGTCTGTCTGTCTCCATCACCCCACTAGCTATTTCCCGCACCTTTATGAACCATGACAACCCCCTCCCCTTATGTATCACCCCCTTCCCCTTCCCTTTATGAACTATAACTATCCCTCTCTCTATATTTATCACCTCCCCCCCCCCCTCCTCCCCTCATTATCCACCTTCTCTCTATCCCTCTTCCATTCTCTCCTTTGTCCTCCTCTTGCCCTCTTACCGCCTCCTCCTTCTCTTCTCTCCTCTTCTTCTTCTCTTATCCTTTCTCCTCCTATCTCTCACCTATATCCTCTTCCTTCTCCTTCTTTTTCACTTACTTACATACATACATACATACATACATACATACATACATACACAATCGAGTATGACGATCATCCAGCTATGATATAATGATATGAGGTATTAGGGATGTCACCTACGTAGGTTGGTGAGTTTTGAGGTGACTAAAGAGGCCGATACGGGACCTGCAGCGTCTTTCACAGATGTTGCACGTGTGGAGGGCTACATCGAGTGCGGGAGGGGCGTTGGCGCTTGTCTGCCTCAGTTTGCAGTCGGGCTAACTCAAAGGCATTGACACATCCTGTGTGGTGCTCCTCCAAGCGTTACGGTGTGGAGTAATCGACTCCCAGGTGAGGGGGTCGATTTGGCACTTTTTCAGGTTTGTCGTAAGACTATCCTTATACCTTTTCAGTTGCCCGCCAGCGTTACGTTAGGTGACTGTAGTGTAAAGTAGCTGCTTTGGCAGTCTACTGTGTCCATGCGGGTAACATGGCCAGTCTAGCGTAGTAGTTCATGAATAGTGGCAGCCTCGATGCTTCCACAGTTACATACATACATACATACATACATACATACATACATACATACTGTACATACATACATACATACATACATACTGTACACACACACACACACACACTATCTAACACTTTACTTATCGTGCGTGTAAAGTCAGTATAATATGTCTTCAGATTTTAGTAGAGCGAAGTATGCAAATTATGGTCTAGATAAGATCGCTTAAGATAAGATTGTTTTAAGATGAGATCAATTTAGGATACGATAAGGTGTTAAGATAAGGAAGTTTTATGAACGTTTTAGTGGAATATAATGTTTTAGGTTTTGTTCTGGTGTGACGTAAAGGTGATTTATTTTGTTTTTGTTGAGTGGATGGTGCATACACACACTTACATACACGACACGGTGCACACAATAGAGGTGGATCTCACTGAGGTACACGACGGGTGAAGTTTACGAGGTGCACATTGAAAGCTAAGGGGGAGGGTGCACTGACAATCGTACACGAGGTTGGGATGTGCACAACATTGACTAGGGTGCGCAAGAATGACATTTGTGCACTTGACATGGATAGTCTACACATGTCAGAGGTACACACACACACACACACACACACACACATCAGGGGGGTTACACATGACAGCAGCTCATGACTGTGACTCAGCAGGCGTGGTGACACAAGAGTGTATATGTGTCAAGTGCCAGTGCCACCGACACCTGACACCACTGCCAGCAACTCAGACCCCTACTTGGCATTCCACCTCCTCCTTCCTTCCCTCCCTCACACCCTTCCCTTCCACTCCCCCCACCCCTTCCTTCTCTCTCTCTCCCTCCCTCCCTCACACCCTCCTTCCCCCACTCTACCCTTCCCCTTCCCTCTCCCTCCTTCCCTTCTTCTCTCACTCTCACACCCTTCCTCTCCACCCTTTCCTTCCTTCTCTCCCTCCCTCCCTCAATCCTTCACCTTCCCTCTCACCTAACATAACCTAACCTAACCTAACCTAGCCTAACGTAACATAACCTAACGTAACGTAACCTAACGTCATCACTGTCGGCAACACTACTACACGAGAGACAAAAGAGGTGAGGTCGTCCTTTACAAAGAACCACGACTCATGGGACGACCACCACTATTACCATCATCATTACTACCATTCCTTCCACCATTACCACCACTACCTCCACCACCACTACTACTCCTACAACCATCCTTACTACGACCACCACTACCCCCACCACTATCCCTACCACCACTCCTTCCACCATTATCACCATTACCACCACTACCTCCACCACCACCACTACTACAACAACCATCCTTACTACGACCACCACCACCCCCACCACCACCGCCACCAACCACCCTCCAACCACATCATCACCACACCACCACCACCCCACCACCACACCACCAAACAACCATCCCACTAACCCACCACACCCCACCACCACCCACCACCACCACCATCCCCAACCAACACTGCCACCAACCACCCCCACCACAACCCCACCACCACCACCACCACCCCAACCACACCACCACCAACCGCCAACCAACCACACCACCACATCCACCCCATCACGACCCACCACCACCACATCCAACCCCAACCACCCCACCAACCACATCCAACCCCACCACCACCACAACCACCACCACATCCAACCCCACCACCAACCAACCACCACCACCACATCCACCCCACCACCACCACCACACCACCACACACATCCACCCACCAACCAACCAACCACCAACCAACCAAATCCAACCCCCATCACACCACCACCCACCACATCCAACCCCAACCACCCCACCACCACCACATCCAACCCCCACCAACCCCAACCAACCAACCAACCAACCACATCCACCCCACCAACCAACCACCAACCCACCAACCACACATCCAACCCCACCAACCAACCCCACCAACCACATCCAACCCCACCAACCAACCAACCACCACCACATCCAACCCCACCACCACCACCACCACCACATCCAACCCCAACCAACCACACCACCACATCCAACCCCACCACCACCACATCCACCCCACCACCACCACATCTACCCCACCACCACCACATCCACCCCACCACCACCACCCCACCACATCCACCCCACCACCAACCAACCACCACATCCAACCCCAACCAACCACCACAACCAACCCCAACCAACCAACCACATCCAACCCCAACCACCAACCAACCACATCCAACCCCAACCAACCAACCAACCACCACCACATCCAACCCCAACCAACCAACCAACCACCAACCATCCAACCCCAACCAACCAACCAACCAACCACCACCCACATCCAACCCCAACCAACCAACCAACCCAACCACCACATCCAACCCCTACCCCACCCACCAACCACATCCAACCCCACCACCAACCACCAACCAACCATCCAACCCCACCACCAACCCAACCAACCACCACCCACCACCACATCCAACCCCACCAACCAACCACCCCACCACCACCACATCCCACCCCACCACCACCACCAACCACCAACCAACCACCACATCCACCCCACCAACCCCAACCAACCAACCACCAACCACATCCAACCCCACCAACCACCAACCAACCACACCAACCCCACCAACCAACCACACCACACCCCACCACCAACCACCACCCACCACAATCCACCCCCACGACCACCACCACATCCAACCCCCACACACCACCACCACCACCACATCCACCCCACCACCACCACCACCACCACCACATCCAACCCCACCACCACCACCACCACCACACCCACCCCACCACCACCACCACATCCACCCCACTCACGACCACCACCAACACCACATCTAACCCCCATCACGACCACCCCACCACCACCACATCTAACCCCTCACCCCTACCACCACCACCACATCTACCCCTACCACCACCACCACTATCACCATCACACACCCCAAAGACCACCAACAAATAATATTATACCCATACCACCCAGAGGTCCACAACAACAATAACAACTCAGACAACTACCAAGTATAAAACCAACCACCATTACTTTAACATCACTCTGAAACCAACCACAACTACTAACACATAATCCATCCTTAACACCACCATTACCACCACCACCAACCACCACCACCACCGATATCCCTAGTCCTTCCACCACTACCACTACCACTACCACCCTCTCCTCTCCTTCCCTCTCCTCTCCTCGTTGACATAAACACTGGGAATGGGACCAACATTCGTCACCCTTCACGCACGTTACACACCGACAGACTCACAAAAACCGAAGACTCCCACACACGGGTGACGCAGCAGAGAGCATGAAGAGGAAGAGATTAAGAAGAACCAACTCATGTGTTTGTTCTCTGTAGTTTAAGTGTCTCTTCAATATGACGCAGTGTTTTATTGACACACACACACACACACACACACACACACACACACACACACACACATACGTACAGACACACAGATACACACACAGACACATACGTACTTGTTGATAT